GCCACTAAGAGTTCAGGGATACTGGCCCGAGTGGCGACCAAGCACTGAAGTTAATTTTTAGCCCTGATTCAACAGCCTTATTCAAAAGACTTCAAAATTTTATTGATAATACAGAGCTTGTTAATTGTGATCCAGGAGTCTCGCGCCTGGTTAGAATTAGCCCGAGTAGCTGGCGGAATTTTGCGCGCAAGTTTTTTGTTTGGCGGAGGAGCCTCAACAGAAACATAAGTCTCAAAAGTTCCATGAAACATCCCTTCAAAACATGCTTGCCACAAAAACGTCAAGTCATGTGACCAAATAACTGACACACCAAAATGCTCCCCGAATAACTTTATGAAAATTTATAAAGACTGACCGCTACTCAAAAAAAGTTCTAAATATCCCAAAAAGTTTTCTAAATATCTCGAAAAATCCTCCAAATATATCGTTTTTTTTTTGTGGTGAAAGTACACTGATTTTTAATCACTTAGACCAAAATTTTCAAAATTATATCGCAGTAGTACGAGTTGAGAAAGAAAATTTAGGAACTTCGATGTTACCAGCATCCACATCATTTTGGAAAATTGCTGCTTTAGCGCTTTTAGTGATATGGAATATATTTTGCGAGTGGGAAATGGCTGGACTGGATTGTTTCTTGTATAGAACTGAGTATTATTTCAAGAAAATAGCGAGGAAAACACAGCGCTAAGCCAAATTTTCTAAATATCTCGGAAACTTCTAAATATCCCCAAAATATCCGGATATTTCTGGAAAGGCCTATTCATGCACTTGAACGAACGTTGACAAACCCAACAAACGCCGTCATTATTTTCTCACAAGTTCACGAAAACGAGGTTCTTTCCTCTCAGTTTTCAAATTTGCCTATTGAAATTGATATCGTTAAAAATTAAAGGATTTCGAAGAATTCTCGGTTTCTGACTCAGCGAAAGTTTTCTCGGATCACCTGGGATGTATTCTAACAAAAGATGTTCGATGTATTTCGGAATCGAGAAGTCCTAAGTTATTTTCCAAGTAGCTTGTGGCAAAGAAGCGGCGATGATTAACGTCCATCAAAACTTATTGTTTTTTAAGATTGTCTGCTTTGAGGGTCGACTGTGTGATTGAAAACTGCTGTAATTCTTAACACAGTGAAAATTGCATGAACTGCGAAGTTCTTGCCTGAACGGAAAACATCCTGGCACTGAAGGTGCGAGTGATTGACAGAAGCTTCCCGTTCAGCCTTCTTACTCAATGAGGGGGCTGAATCCGCCGATCCGTGCCATTTTTTCACTAAATCCGTCGATCCGCCAATATTTTCCTTCAAATCTGGAACGGCATTGTTTAATAAAGAAAATCATCAAAACTGCTTCGGGACTTTTTCGGAGGTTTTGGAGACTCCTTCAGACAATCCAGAGCTGTCTTAGACAGGTTCGGAGCCCGTTCGGAGGCCCTCATTATATTTAGATAATCATCAGACATTAACCTGATTCCTAATCTTAAATAAATGAATAATCTAACACATTTGCCACTTAGCTTTATTGTAAAAGTTCTTCGGTAAACTGGTAGATGTGGATACC